GACAACTGTGTCCCTCTGCTCTGTTTGCGCAATAGCCTCTTGGTGCAGATATAGTTTTAGCCTGTGCGTATTAAGTGTTCTGGAATCCCCATTCTTCTCAAGGTTAGCTATAATTTGTTATGACCCACATAGTTAAATGCCTTTGCATAATCGTTAAAACACAAACAGACATTCTTTCAGGATTCTTTGCTGTCATCCTGGATCCATCTGACATTAGCAATGGTATCACTTCTGCCACCGCCTTTTCTAAATCCAGCTTGAATGTCTGCCAGTTCTCTATGTACTATTCCAGCCATTTTTAAAAGACCTTCAGCTGTATTTTGCTTGCGTATCATATTAATGATACTGTTCAATAATTTCCACACTGTGTGGTATCACCTTTCTTGGAAATGGAAACAAAGATGGATCTTTTTCAGTCAGTCAACCAAGCTGCTGTCCTCCAAATTTCCAAGCTTCCTTTTTTTTTTTTTAGATTTTATTATAAGTTATCAAAGAACTTGGATTTCCAGTCATTCATTGTCAGTACATTTTCCTCCCTGCCCCTCCCTCCCACTCAGTTCGCTTTTTTCTTTGGAAACAAAGTTCTTTCATTGTTATACATTCCCCATCAACCCCGTCCCCATCCCCTCCTGTCCACTTTACTATGCAGCTCTTATTCTGGACTCTTGCCATGCCAATAATACCTAATCATATATTCCTTTTATACAGTTCTCCCCCTTGTCTGTTTCAATGCCTTGGACACGATTTATCCCCGCTTTTCTTAGCTTCCCCCCAACTCCCCTGTCAGTCCTGTCTATAACAGTGGCATTATGCAGTATTTGTCCATTTGTGACTGAGATATTTCAATCAGCATATAAACTTCATTAGAGAAAGCTTGGAGGAATCCTAGAAGCACTAATTCACAACATGAACAGTCTTCCAGGCTTCCGTCTGTTGTTGTTGTTGTTTTTGTCATATGCGCCGCTTCGGAGTTGGACCTCACTGAACGCTGCCTCTCCAGCTGGTTTTCAGAGCTTGGAAACACCACAGGATACGACTGCCCATGTTTCTCCTGAGGGGCGAGCAGCTTGTGGATTTGAATCACGTGCCTCTGGCAACCTCATTCCTGGCCCCTGGGTTACCAGAACTCCCTCCAGGTTCCTTTGGTAAAGAGGAGGATGAACAAAGAAACGAAATGTCAATTTCCTCACTACATAATATGTGCTTACACTGTTTTCGGTGCCTCGCACCTGCTTTTATTTATTTGTTTTTCCAAAACCTAGTCACTTTGCAGCTTTCTGACATTTTACCAGGTGCACATGACACCTGTATTTTCTCTCCGACAGATATTTTTCTTCACATTGGCTCAGTTCTGTAAAAAAAAAAAGTTTGTATACTATATCCCATTTTAAAAATTCTAACAAATCAGAACGGAGATTATGAGCGTATTCACACACTGAAGGATGTAACTGATGCCACTGGACACTTTGTATGGAAATTGCTGAAAGGGAATCTACACTGCTGTGTAAATGTTCCCTGAAAGCACCATCAAGTATTTCTTGTTATTAATTATTTTAATGAAAGTTTATAGAGACTTAGGATTTCCAGTCATTCATTGTTGCACTTTTCTCCCTGTCCACCCCCTCGTCCCCAATTCACTCTTCTCCTGGAAAAGAAAAAGAAAAACTCTTTGATTGTTATGCAATCCCTCCCCTCAACTCCACTCCACTGTGTAGCCTTCATTCTGGACTCCTGTCATGGCAAGAATCCCCAATCATATATCCCTTTTAAACAGTTCTCTCCCTCATCTTTTTCAATGCAGTATACATCATTCCTCCCCTCCTTTTCAGTCTTCCCTCAACCCTAATGTCAGTCTTGTTTTACAACAGTGGTTTTATGTAATATTTGTCCTTTTGTGACTGAGATACTTCACTCAGCATAACGTCCTCCACAGTCACTCATTTTGAATAATATTTCATGAGTTCCTTGTTTTTCAATGCAACGTCGTATTCCATTGTGTGACTATACCACAGCTTCTCTATCCATTCGTTTGTTGATGGGCACTTGGGTTGTTTCTAACTCTTTGCTATTGCAAACAAAGCCGCAATAAACATGGGTGTGCAACAATAAATTATTTTTAAAAAGAAAAAGAAGGAATCCTTTCTGCTTATAGAAAATATCTGGAATAGGCGAGTACATAGAGGTAAAAATTTGTTAGTGATTACTCAGCGGACCTGAATAACAGATCCCCCTTCTCTGACCTTCATGGTTGTGGTTAGAAGTCATCTTGCAAAAAAAAAGTCATCTTGTGGGACTAGCTAAGTAGATGTTTGTGGTTCACAAAGGGGATTGCATATACCGCTAAAAATGTGAATAAGTTGCATGGCACCTCTTTTAAAAAAATGGATTTATTAAAAAAGTTTTTATACATTGTTTTTCACTTGGGGTCTTTCCTTCACCCTCCCCTCCCATCAAATCGTGCAAGCTTGTCATTAAGCACCGTCCACACCCCACCCATCCTCACCCCTCTGCTCCCTGCCCCCTTTGGATCCTCATACTCATTCTACAATAATGGTTTTATACAATATCTGTCCTTACGGGACGGAGCTAGTTCTGTCAGCTTCGTGCAGATCTGTCCTGGAGAGGGTGAAACCAAGTTGCTCCTTGGAGGTAAGGATTTTGAAGTTCTGTCTTATATACTTTGGGCATGTTGCTAGGAGGGACCAGTCCCTTGGAGAAGGACATCATGCTTGGGAGGGTAGAGGGACGGCGCAGGAGAGGAAGACTCCAGATGAGATGGATTGACACAGTTGCCAGGGTAACGGGGGTTGTGTATTGGAGAGATTGAGACTGGCTCAGGATAGGGTAGGGTTCAGTGCTATTGTGCATAGGGTGGCTATGAAGTCCCAGGTGACTTAAGGGCACATAACAACAACAACATTGTTTCCATTATTGCCACCACCATCATCATCATCTAGAGAAGGCCACAATAACCTTCCCATCTCTTGCCTCCAGAGTCTACAGACCAACAATTCTCTGCAGACTCATGTCCTGTGATACTGCAAGTGAAATTCTAATGTGAGATTAGATGAGCTGTTCTTTGGACTGGAGGGTCTGGTAACGTGACAGTGTGTCCACCGCGGCGCACGGAAGACACTCCCAGAGGCCCCTGCTGGTTCCTTTTCTGGTTGCCCACAACCCTTGTAGAACAGTGATTCTCAACCTCACACTCTCCCCACCCTGGGACATTTGTCAAGGTCTGGAGTCGCTGGTGGAGTTGACAGCTAAATCTCTCACTGCTAACGGAAAGGTGGGCAATTCATGTCTCTCTGGATGAGGCTGAAGGAAAGCCCTAGGGAATAACTTCCAGAAAACAAGTCACCAGAATCCATATGGAACTCAATTCTAATCCCCAAACGGGGCTGCTGTGAATTGGAATTTACTTAATAGCAATGTTTTTCTTTAGTTGTTCATTTTCAGACATTTTTAGTTGTGATGGCTAGGGTGACACTTAGAGATAGAGGCCAAAGATAGTGATATTAAAAAAAAATCTTACACTGGTGGGGAGGGGTGGGCAGGGAGAGGGATGTGGCAGTGAATGAATGGAGATCCAAAATCTCTGTAAATGTTCATTAAAATTAATAAAATGTAATTAAAAAAAAAGAAACATATCCCTTACTGTTTAGGAGACTAGAAATCTAGGTTCAGGATACTAGTTCCAGAAAGTCCCTGTTTTCCCCAGCATCTGTTGACCTATCATCGCCTGTGCCCTCCACATTTTCTGGTCTTTCTTCATGTCAAGGAATTTTGTTGTTCAAGGAAGTTTGACTTGGGTCCAAAAAGAGGGCCTCCACTTCTGGGGAATATTCTTCAGAGATTCTCAGCAACTCCTGCTTCCATCCGCACCCTTCATAGCCCCCTTTTTTAAAATCTTCACTGAGATTAAAAAAACAACAACACAACAACACTCCACCAGTAGTGTGGAGGATTGGAGGAAGACGCATCAACAACATACATTTTTATGCAGATTATTGGGACCGCAGAGCACTCTCTTTCCTCTCACAGTATAGCTACTGAGAGAATCCAATAACAGGAAACAATAGTCATGCTTTTTCTCTCCGTCAAATTACCCTACTCCCATTTTCCCAGGAACAGCTATCTGAGACCCCAGCCCACTTCCCTCTCTTGAAGGAAGCATCTGGACGTTTCCCCTTCCCCAATTCCCATGTAAGAAAGGACACAATCCTCCTCTAACTCTTAGTGGGGTCTTGAGAGCCAGCCTGGAAGTTTCTCCTCAATAAATGATCTTTCTTGGCCAGCACTGGGTGCTGTCCTTTCTCGGGGACCCTACAAAGATGCTACAAACTTGCTTACAGAAATTGAAGAAGACTTGTAGCTCTTCCTGAAGATCAAGGACTGTAGCCTCAGTATGGCTTACATCTTAACAGCAAGAAAACAAAAATCCTCACCACGGTGTCAACAGGCAACATCATGATGTTGTTATTGTTAGATGCCGTTGAGTTGAGTACGGGTCACAGTGACACTATGACCAACCGATGTGAACCTTAGCCCTAACCTAACCCTATCTGATCTTCTTGAGCCACTGTAGAAGGTCTTCCTCTTTTTTTGCTGGCCCGCACTTTTCCAAACATGATGTCCTTTTCCAAGGACTGGGTAATCCTAACAACATGAGATCATGAAGATGGGAAAAGGGATAAGAATAGGGAATTGGGAAAGGTTTGATCCGCTGTTCATAGGATCACTGGCCTCACCCTCATGTCCACTTAGGGTTGTGACAGCATTAGGGAATGTTGCATTCCATTTGTCATCCTTCTACAACTATTTATTTTATCCCTAACAATAACCCTCTCAGAAAGAGACTCCGGGGTGGTTCCTCAAGGATTGGAGAAGACAGGTGATGTGAGATGCAGATAGACCACTCATGGGAGACTCTTTTACAGGTCTGTGTCTTAGCCAAAGGGACAAGCCAGAAAATGGTGAGTGTTTCTTTCATTAAACCCTCCTTGTCCCTTAACCCTAAATCATCCACTTTTCTTCTTCTTCTTTCTTCTTCTTCTTCTTCTTCTTCTTCTTCTTCTTCTTCTTCTTCTTCTTCTTCTTCTTCTTCTTCTTC